TTTCTACTTACATAGATTTATAAATCTCACTCGGTTTATACATTGTAGTTAGTCTTGATGATATATGACTTGATGGTCAGACTGGAGTAGCCGTGGCGTTTTTACAGGCATTTTGAGTCACCATGTACATAGATGACGACCTGTGGGCAGGACCGTGGCTTGTTTTGCTTCCGTTGTTCCATATTACATTTGTTTTAGAAGTTGTATGGTGTTGTTATAAAGAGTATGTCGATTGTGTAGTTTTTGATATGGTTTGAGATCCTTTTGGTGAATGTTAACAGGTTACTGTTGAGTTATGTTATGTTTTGCTGAGAAAAAAAATTATAGCAGGTTAACATGTTGTTATATATGTAAGTAATTAAGAGGGATTATAGCATGTTTATCGTTTACTTATATGTGAATTGGTGTTAGTAGTATAGTGCAAGTGTGGTCGTGTCAGAGTGGTATCAGAGCACGCTTAGCTTCCTGTAGACTGTCTATGTACACGAGCTCAGAACTTGAGAGAGCCCGGGTACACCTAATAAGTGTTTATTTAAATTTTGTTTATATTTGTGTATCATGAATTATATTGACTTTAGACTTTACTTGATAATGAATTGCTGGTTATTAAATGATTTTATAATGAATGGCGATTGGTTTCCATGTTACGTGCTCTTCTGTGTTTCGAAATTAATGAAGATGATATGTGGTAAAATGATTCCTACTACCGTACTTCTACATAATTCTATTATTACTAAAATGCTATTGTTTGATCCCCGCCATTGAGCCACTGACTGCAGCAGTGTTCTCGTGAGCATGTGTGATCGTGCATGTGTATTGAGGTACAATACATGTGTGGTAGTCATGGTAATTGTAAGTTTTGGTCTGTGTTTAAAGTTTGGATATAAGCAGTTTTAATTATCTTATATATGGTATATTGTGAATAATACGAATGTGAAACAAATCGGGTGCATGTTTAGTAGGCTAGAGTCAAGTTATTTCTTGTTCCGACATTATATGTACTATGAATTATATTGGCCATGTGGTGCAGGACGGGTGGTATTGTTGAATAGATATGGTGAGAGAACAGGGTGAAAGTAGTGGTATAGAAAGAACGCCTGAGCAGACAACACCGATTGTTGGTGTTGATCCGGATGCTGTTAGAGTTCGGCTGACAGACTTAGTTAAATGCCAGGCGCAACAGATTCAACAGCTTATTGAACAAAGAAATGCGGACAACCAACGTACTGATGTGAATCAACCACAACCGCGAACAGAGCCTGTTGAGTTGGTGTCCGAGCGATTCCGTAAACTGAATCCACCAATCTTTGAAGATGCTACCGATCCTTTGGTTGCTGAAGACTGGTTGAGAACTTTGAAAAATATGTTCCAATATAGTAGAATTCCAGATACAGAGAAGATTTTGTGTGCTTCCTTCATGTTACGTGGTAGTGCGGGACACTGGTGGGACACAGTCAAAAGTATCGAAGATGTTGCTGTAATGACCTGGGAGAGGTTCAAGGAGATTTTCATAAATAAATACTTCACTGCTCCAGTCAGAATCATGAAGATGAATGAATTCATACAGTTGATTGGGAACCATGACTGTTACAGACTACCTCTGTAAATTTGAGCAGTTATCTAGGTTTGCGGAACACATGGTCAGTACTGAAGTATTAAAAGTGGAGAGATTCCTTGAAGGCTTGAGGCCTGAGCTTTATAGAGATGTGATTATGGCGGGAACTTAAGGAATGACATATGCAAAAGTTGCAGAGAGAGCACAAACTGCTGAACAAGCTGAGATACTAATAAGACATGCATAAGAGATGAGACGTCATTTTCAGCAGCGGCAAGCACCACAGTGGGGTGGAAATAATAGAAAAACGGCATGGCAACCTCAATCATCACGACCATTCCAACCCCGACAAGGACATAGACCTGAACAAGAAGGACCAGATAAACGTCCCAGGGTGAAGCAAAGAGGAGTACCACTACCGCCGCCGCCGCCACCACCACCACCACGACCTCTATGTTGAAATTGTGGTAAATCACATTTTGGGATTTTTCGTGATGAACCGAAAACTTGTTCTTCTTGCGGACAAAGGGGAAATATGACTAGTATGTGTCTGAGAGCACAAAAGGACCAAGGGAGAGTACCAACGCGATAATTTACGATGACAAAGAAAGATGCAGAAGAAAATCCAGTTGTCACCGGTAAGCTTTCTATCTTTGGTACTTCGACTTATGTGTTATTTGATTTTGGGGCTACACATTCTTTTGCATCCACTGAGTATGTGAGAAAACTGGGTAGAACACCTAACTTAACTGAGGCTAAATTCGTTGTGATGATTCCTTCCGGTGATACAAAACAAACGAATCAGATCCTGCAATGATGTGTTATTCCTATAGAAGGTAGAGAATTATATGTTGATTTGATCATGCTGGACATGAATGATTATGATGTGATATTGGGTATGGATTGGTTTCGAAATATGGTGCTACAATCGACTGTCAGAAAAAGAGTATTGTATTTCAGTGTGAGGGTGAAGAACCATTTTCTTTTATCGGGATGAAGAAGCGTTTCAAATTATCTATAATATTAGCTGTTAAGGCACAAAGATTACTGGAAAGTGGTTGTGAAGGCTATTTGATAAGTGTGATGGGTGTCGAGGGGAAACAGTGTCCTACTGTTGGTGATATGCCAGTAGTGCAAAAATATCCTGAGGTATTTCCAGATGATCTTACAGGGCTACCACCAGATCGCAAAATTGAATTTGTGATTGAGCTACAACCTGGAGTGTCACCTATTTATAAATCACCATATCGAATGGCGCCGAATGAATTGAAAGAACTGAAAGTACAACTGCAAGAACTACTTGTTCGAAAGAAAGATGGCACGTTGAGGATGTGTATCGATTACCGAGAATTGAACAAAATCACGATCAGGAATAAATATCCTTTACCCCGAATCGATGATTTGTTCGATCAGCTACAAGGTGCGACTATCTTTTCGAAGATTGATTTGCGATCTGGGTATCATCAATTGAAGATAAAGGCAGAAGACATTCCCAAAACAACATTCAGTACGAGATACGGGCACTATGAATTTCTAATAATGCCATTTGGACTGACAAATGCCCCAGCAGTGTTCATGGATCTGATGAATCGGGTGTTCAAAGACTTTCTAGACAAATTCGTTATTCTATTTATTGACGATATTTTAATTTATTCCAAGACTGAAGAAGAGCATGCGATGCATCTGAGGAATGTGTTAGAAGTTCTGAAAGAGAAACAGTTGTGTGCAAAGTTCAATAAATGTGAATTTTGGCTAGATTGAGTTGTATTCTTGGGACATGTGATATCGGGAGCAGGAATTTCAGTTGACCCAAGCAAAGTTGAAGCCATTAATAATGGCCACAACCTACAAATCCATCAGAAGTGCGTAGTTTTCTCGGACTGGCAGGATATTACCGTAGATTTGTAGAAGGCTTCTCTAAAATTGCTTCTCCTTTGACACAATTGAACAGGAAGAATGTGACATATAAATGGACGGAATCATGTGAACAAAGCTTTCAAGAATTGAAGAGACGATTGACATCAGCTCATATCTTAGCAATCCCAACCGGGACTGGAGATTTTAAAGTTTACAGTGATGCTTCGAAAAATGGTCTCAGGTGTGTATTGATGCAGAACGATAAAGTGATCGCTTATGCCTCTCGACAGTTGAAACAGTACGAAAATAACTACCCTACACATGATCTGGAGTTAGCAGCCGTGGTGTTTGCGCTCAAAATCTGGAGACATTACTTGTACGGTGAACGTTGCGAGATCTATACCGATCACAAGAGTGAAATATTTCTTCACTCATAAAGAATTGAATATGAGACAACGAAGATGGTTAGAACTTGTGAAAGATTATGACTGTGTGATCAAATATCATCCTGGTAAAGCTAATGTTGTGGCAGATGCATTGAGTCGAAAATCAGTAAAAATAGTGGCAGCTATGACTTTAATTCAGAAACCTGAACTCCGACCTATAAAGGATGAACATCAAACTTATTGAACCTGGACTTGTAACAGCAAAACTTGCACCTTTAACACTCAGACCGACATTGCTGGATCGAATTCACGCAGGACAACAACATGACGAGTATTCTGCTAAGGTGAAGAAAAATATCACTTTAGGTGAACCCTCTGATTTTCAGTTGACAGAGAATGACGTACTCCGATACAAGAACCGGTTATATGTCCCAGATACTGATAAAATTCGTGAAGATGTGATGGCTGAAGCACATTTGACACCTTATTCTGTACATCCAGGAGCCACTAAAATGTATAGGGACTTGAAATTGCATTATTGGTGGCCAGGTATGAAAAAGGACATCGCTCGATAAGTAGAACAATGTTTGACTTGTCAGCAGATCAAAGCAGAACATCAGAGACCAGCAGGAACTTTACAACCCTTGTTTATCCCAGAGTGGAAATGAGAGAGTATTACAATGGATTTTGTTACAGGGTTTTCCAAGACAGTCAAGGGTTACGATGCAGTCTGGGTAATTGTTGATAGATTGACTAAATCAGCTCATTTTCTACCGACCTGCACTACATATTCTATGGACCGTTATGCTCAGATATATATACAAGAAATTGTTAGACTTCACGGTGTACCCCTCACTATCATTTTAGACAGAGACTCCAGATTTTTATCTAATTTCTGGAGGAGTTTGCATAAAGCATTAGAGACTCAGTTATCTTTCAGCACTGCGTACCATCCATAAATAAATGGACAGTCACAGAGAACGATACAAATTCTGGAAGATATGCTCAGAGCTTGTGTCTTAGATTTCCAAGGTCAGTCGAACAAATTCTTGCCTTTGCTTGAGTTTTCTTATAATGACAGTTATCAGTCTACTATCATAATGGCACCATATGAAGCAATGTATAGTAGAAAGTGTCAATCTCCAATACATTAGGATGAAGTTGGGGAACGAAAACTTTTGGGTCCAGATTTGATTCGAGAAATGAGTGAAACTGTAGTGCAAATTCGGGAAAGAATGAAAGCTGCTCAAAGCCGACAAAAGAGTTATGCTGATAAAAGAAGAAGAAAGCTAGAGTTTAAAGTGGGTGATCAGGTATTTCTAAAATTTTCTCCAATGAAAGGGGTAATGCGGTTCGGAAAGAAAGAAAAGCTTAGTCCAAGATACGTTGGTCCATTCTCCATTACTAAAAGAATTGGTAAAGTGGCCTACAGACTTGATTTGCCTACATCAATGTCTCAAATACACAATGTGTTTCATGTGTCAGCATTTAGGAAGTACATAGCAGATCCATCACACGTTTTGAAAAGTGAACCTACAGAGCTAAAATCGGATCTGAGTTATGAATTCCAGTAGAAATTCTCATGAGAGAAGTGAAACAACTTAGAAACAAAGAGATTTCATTAGTCAAAGTACTATGAAGAAATGAATCAGTAGAAAAAGCTACTGGGGAAAGAGAGGATGAAATGAGATCTAAGTACCCAGAACTCTTCAGGCAAGTTAAATTTTGAGGACGAAATTTTGTATAAGGAAGGGAGGATGTGATACCCGAGTTACTCACTACTCATTGGCCAATATATATTTTATATTTTAGGTGTTGGTAAATTACTTATATGTTAATTTGTGGTAGTTTAAATATACTTCATGAGTTGCATATATTAGTTTACTTGAGTATTAATTGTTTAATTATATGTTCTGTTTATATTATTTATGTGTTAATTTATAATTAGTTGAGTATAATTCATACTTTGAGTGCACTTTATATTATTTATATGTCACTGGTGATGTTAGGTTATTTATTTTACTATTGAATGTTAAATTGTTTATAATTTGGTATATGCTTTACCTTTTTATTAATAAAAAAATATTTTCATAATTTATCTGAGATTCTAGTAGGATACAAATAGGTTGGGTAAATTATTTGGATATTAGTGGTTTAAATTAAATATAAATCACTTGAAAATTAATTGTAGTAATTAAATAAAAAGTAAAATAAATAGAATAATTAAATAAATAAATAAATAAATAAATAAAATAATAATAATAATAAATAATAATAAGGCGGTGGGGCGGGGTAATAATCCCCACCCCCCACCTCAATTAAATCATCTTCATTACAATTGCAGAAGAGAGGGAGAAAGGCAGAGGGATACGCGAAGAAAAATTAAAAAAAATACTTTTTACGCTGAATTCGTTAAAAGCCTAGTTCAAGTATTTTTCTGTGTTCACGAATTATTGCTATTTTTACTAAGTAGATGAAGTTTTGAGTAGAAATAATTATTTAGTAAATTGGGGCAATATTTGTAATTAATTGTTGTTAGATACGATACTGAAATCGTTAAAAGGGCTTTAAGACTTAGGGTTATTGAAGTTTTTGGCGAATTTCAGGTAGTAGAAATTCATTTGTAACTACAATGCATAAATATATTATTTTGTGAGTTATTTATGTTTGATTGATAATATGTGAATATCAGAAAACTGTAATATGGGATTAATATTTTGTGATTATGTGGTTTGAGCCTGCGAGCTCCGTATGTAAATTGGTTTCAGCCTGTGAGCTCTGTATGTGATATGGTTGAACCTGTGAACTCTATATTTGATGTTGAAGGAGTCTGTGAGCTCAAAAATTGATGTGGTTTGAACCAATGAGTTCAATAATATATGTATATTGTGAAATATGTTGCATTGCATTTTCATTAAACATGCATATCATGCGTTGAAATAAAATAAGATGGTTTTACTATGTTAGACCGTTGATTATACACCGAGAGCGGGAGAGGCGACCTGGGAAGAAGCGACTTGGGGAGACCTGGTGTAGGCTACCTGGTGTAGGCCACCGTCTACTGTGACTTTACATACAATGTATAAACAATGCATTCGGAAGAGGCGACCTGGGAAGAAGCAACCCGGGGAAACCTTGCGTGGAAACCGGGTGTAGGCTACCTGGTGTAGGACACTGTTTGATTTGAATATGTGGATATTGAGCTCTTTCCGGTGTATAGCAATGTGTGTAGGGACCCTAGAGAGTATTTCATAAATAAATTGGTGATTTCAAATGAGAGTACATTCTGCATAATGAGAATTTTGAGATAAACTTCACATCATGCATAATTTCTACTTACGGAGATTTATAAATCTCACTCAATTTATGCATTGTAGGTAATCCTGAGGATATATGACTTGATGGTCAGACTGGAGTAGCCGTGGCGCTTTTACAGGCATTTTGAGTTACCGTGTACATAGATGACGACCCGCGGGTAGGACCGTGGCTTGTTTTGCTTCCGTTGTTCCATATTATGTATGTTTTAGAAGTTGTATTGTGTTGTTATAAAAAGTATGTCGATTATGTAGTTTTTTATATGGTTTGAGATCCTTTTGGTGAATGTTAACAGGTTACTGTTGAGTTATGTTATGTTTTGCTGAGAAAAAAATTTATAGCAGGTTAACAGGTTGTTATATATGTAAGTAATTAAGAGGGATTATAGCATGTTTATCGTTTACTTATATGTGAATTGGTGTTAGTAGTATAGTGTAAGTGTGGTCGTGTCACTCCGATCTCTGATATGCTTTCTTTCATTGGTTCTTCTTTCACGGAAATAGCTCCAATCATCTCACCGACGAAACAACGGATGATGTTCAGCTAAACCCCATGGTGCAAAGTGGCCTGTGGTAATCACGTCTCAAAGTTGGAGGTCGACTCGACACTCCAAGCTTCAACACCCACCGAAATCGACCATCGGATAAGGTTCTACTTTCACCAAAAAACCACTCGAACTCACTGGACGGCTCTCTTCTCGCCTTCCCCTCTCTCTCGATCTCACCCTCTTTCTCTCTCTCTCTATTATGAAAAACTAACTTGCCCAAATATAACCTACTCTCTATATATATCTACAACTACCATAACAAATTAACTAATATAATAGTCTTAGTATATAACCTACTCTCTATATATATCTACAACTACCATAACAAATTAACTAATATAATAATCTTAGTATATGGGCTTGGGAAAATGATTAATGGGTTTGGGATTGCATTAAAAGGTTTGGGCCGATCCGGTGGCCCGGGTTACGGAGTTGTCAACTAATTATTTACCGAGAGACTTGTCGGATTAGCCGTCGAACGTCCAAAATTTTCAACAACCGGAGCGACGATTGAAATTTATTTAGGTTAGCGGCTACTACGCCTAAAATTAGCTTACAATAGTTTCTCTATTTATTCTTTAATTTTCGTGAAGATGTGTAGGTTTCAGGGGCTGTTCGTGCATTGTCGTAAATGATGTTCGACAACACTCCTAGCTAGTCCGGCTATTCAACTTTTTTATAAATATCATATTAAATATTTTTTTTTCTCATAAAATATTATATCAAATTCTAATATTTTATTATTTTTAGAACTTCAAAACTTCTAAAAAAACCTCTCTACTAAACGGAGAATTTTTCTTTGTTATTGTTAGGGGTGGGCACGGTTCGTGTATTTGTAAATATGCAGGTATTTGATATCTGAACCGAACTGAAAAAATATCCGAAACTGCGAACCGTATCCGAGCCGAAATTTAAAAAAAAATATGAACAAAATATTTTATATTTTATTTATTGTGTCGCTACAAAAAAATAATATATTTGTAACGGAATTCCGTCTCTAAAGTTCACGTAGCTAACGTAATTTCATTCCTAATTCCTTTTCTAATGTCATTAGTAATGGAAAAAGTTGATTTAGCGACAAAAAAATTTTGTTACAAAAATAATTTTTTTCGTAGTGTGTGAAACTCATTGTGTTAAATTAAAGTTTTTACAAATTAATATCTTCATCTAAAGTTGATGTTTGGGTGTAAATGGGAACCTAATTATACAAGTTTTATACATATCTTAAATAGTTTTTGTTTGAATAAAATAAATATATAACAATTGATTATTTCTTTATTTTATTTTTTGAGATAAATTATAAAAATGAATGATTAATCAATTATTTATTTATTTATTTTATTAAAAAAAGATTATTTAAGATATTTTTTATTTTTATAAAATTTGGATAATTTAGGCATGCATTTTCGACCAAACATTAATTTTGAACAAACAGAGTATTTTATACATACTTTAATTTCATACAATAAAATTTTACGCAATAAATAAAATACGATATATTTTGTGAATTTTGACTGAAATACAAAAACAAAAAAAATTATATAATTTATCCAACTTCTTTTGATCAATATTTATTTAAATATTAAATTTTACATCCTTTACATGTAATTTTTATACTATTCTCACATTAGTTTTCTCTTTTTATAATTTTATTTCTTTGTTATTATTTTGTTTACAATTTCACTCTCTATACTTAATGGATTCTAATTATTTTCAATTATAACATTATCCACCACCATAATGTATCACATATAAATGATTATTCAAATAAAAAATTAAAATTAGTTCTCATTTTTTTTTTGTCAGGTTATGAAAGTGTAGTCAGTTATATTTTCAATATTAATTATTTGTGTTGATGTAATTTTTCAACAAAAATAAAGTAAAATTCAAAGATATAGAAAATATCCTTAAACTTGATTAATTAGTGCCTGAGATTAGGAATCTCTAAACACTGTATGGTACAGAAAATAAACTGGAAAATAAAAGACTGAAATTTAAAGTGGTGATCCCCAAATCTGACTTTGCTTTGTTGAAGTTGATTGAAGATGCCTTTTCAAATGATGATCCAAACCCTTAAATATTCCCTGGGAAACTGTACTGAAAACCGTCACCCGAACGGTTACAACGTCTCCTTTCCAACCGTCTTCCAACCCTTCTCCTGCTGACACGTGTCCTCAACGGACCAAAAATTATCACTATATTTCACTCTTTGAGCCGACCACAGACCTTCCGCCCCTTTTGGCCCGACTGCCAATCTACGACCGACTTGCAAACCATCTGACTGGTTGGTCCAGCCGCAGAGTCCCGACCTGAGGACCTCCCGACCTGTCCGACCTGAGGACTTTCCGTCCTGAGGACTTTTCGACTTGCGGACTTTCCGACCTGAGGACCTCCCGACCTGCGGACTTTCTGTCCTGATGACTTTCCGTCTTGAAGACCTCCCGACCTGAGGACCTCCCGACCGGAGGACTTTCCATCCTGAGGACTTTTCGACCTGAGGACCTCCCGTCCTGATGACTTTCCGTCTTGAAGACCTCCCGACCTGAGGACCTCCCGACCGGAGGACTTTCCGTCCTGAGGACTTTTCGACCTGAGGACCTCCCGACCTGAGGACCTCCCGACCTGAAGACTTTCCGTCCTGAGGACCTCCCGACCTGTATTTTCCTTAGAAATAAACCTATTTTCCTTGAGTTCCCCACGGTGTCCTTCAGC